ATGATAATAACGCGTTTTACGTACAATGTAGTACGAAAACAACCCCTTCTTTATACGCTCCATTATATAAGGAAAAGGATCAAGAGAAAGAGCGAGAAGGAGAGAAGGTGGTAGTAGTAGTAGAGAGAGAGAGGAGGAAGAGTAGCGATATATATAGCGTGACATGTGCGCGACGCCAAAATTGCCGTGAGAGATTTTTATCGGGCTCCGATGCCCCTCTTACACATACACAAACACACACACAGCGCACACGAGTGGGACAGGCGAAGGGTAAGTTTGCCTTCGAAAGATGTGCACCGTTGATATTCACGCTTCGACATGGTGAATTGCGTATTATACGTATACGTATACGCGGTGTATATATGCAGCCGCCCCTGAACGTATGTGTATACGCCTCAGTCGGATGATTAAATGGACGACTGGGCCAGTTCTGCTAGAGAGACTGAATCAGAACATAAGTGTGTGTGTGTGTGTGTGTGTGTGTGTGCAGTTGCAAGAGGAGCCGACGCGTCCGTCCTCCTATACACGCTATTAGGCCGTACTTTACGGGCCAGGATGATCGTCATCGTTATCATTGGCCATTATAAAAGTTGCAGCGCTGGTCTGTTTCGTCCGTCGTAGTAGCTACATAGCTCGGGGATCGATCAAACGTTTACGTTTAAACGCGTCCTATCGGCTCGGGGTTTAATTGAAAATGTACACTCGATTGAGCGTGTTGCGCGCGTGCACTATTCCGATGCTATACGATCACCCCCACAGCCATTACAGAGAGAGAGAGAGAGAGGCCTGCTGCTGCTGCTTGTAGCCGAGCACGGTGCGTGATAACGAGGGATCGCGCTTCGATCGGAGCTTCAATTCTCTCTCTCTCTCTCTCTCCGCGAAATTAAGCTCGCAGCTAGATCGATTTAGCCACGCAACGAGATCATCGCGATTTGGGCCAGATGGGCGCGAGCATCGATAAGCGCGTGCACTGCACAGAAACGCGGATATACCCACGAGCCAGAGGATTTTTATTCAGAGACATTGCGGTGGTGCACCGAGAGGTAGCCGAAAATCGAACCATTTCGGCCACAACCGCACTTACTATCGCGAAATACAAGATCGGAACGAGTAATTACTCGATAAGCCAGCCCTTATTTGGCTAATAGATTAGTTAGTTTTCGACTCGATTGGAATTCGTAGTTTTCTCCAGTTCAGATTATCACATCAACTGTTCGAAACATATCAATTGTACAAAATGTTGTGTATCGACTTTGTTGGTAGCTTACTCGAGCTGCTAATGTTCCAGCACGAAGCACATGAAAATTCGAAAAAAAGCTTCGGATTAAGCAGTCAATTCCAGAAACAATAAAACGCGTGTAAACCTGCAAAAGATGCGTGCGAAGGTCTATTCGTAGTTATAAACGCGTTGAACAGCATCTCGAACTATACGGTATTACAGCCGGTGAAACGGAGCCTTGGGCGACGCGTGCCGATCATCCGCACAGCACACGATCGACGCGGCAGCTCCGAGTAATAACGTTAATAATATAAAAACTATGCTCGAGAGCCCCGTAGTACAACAGTGACGCGCTTGAAAATGGCGCGAATTTAACGAGTTTGATAGCCGACAATGTAATAACGACTGCGCTTCGAAGCACGTCGTTATTATGCGGTATAAAAAATCAAAACTGTTGCGCGAGCTATTTTGCCGCGAAACAAGTGCGGAGGTGTTGTACTGTAGTGCAATTTTGTTGCGAGGCGCGTAACTAGCCACTATTTAAAAACATCGAGTCGTAGACGCTGGTGCCGATAGGGTTGATAACTCGGTCTGTCCCTTGGGCGAAACGGTGCGTTTTCTAAATTGGCGCAACGCACTGCATACTATACATATACTCCAGCTAGCCTGACATTTGTGCTTTAATTGTGATGGACGACTTTTCTGCTGCAATAAGCTCAATTATTTCTCGCCCTTGATTTCCTCAACGTTTGAGTGTACGCGCTCTGTGCGAGGAACGAAAGTCGAGAAAAGAATCACGATAAAAATAGGTCCTTGATGGTTGACGTTGGTTATATAAAAGCCGAGTGTTGTATACACGTAGCGCAGCTTAACTTAACAATATATCGCGCGCTGCATACAAGCTGCATATACACATAGGTGCCTGTCTCGGCAACGGCAGCCCGGCGATGGGCGTCCAACGATAAGAGTCTGCATATACGCGACCCGTATGTGCAGGAGACCGCCTCTCATTCCTCCTCTCGGTGCCTCTCCACCTCCTCTACCTCCTCCTCCACATCACACAGCTTGTGTCCGCGCGCAGCTTATTCACGTACTCGCGAGTACGTGTAATTCTCCTCTTTCTCTCTCTCTCTCTTTCTGTCTCACTGCTGCTTCTGCTGCTGTCGAGGCTTCTTTTATCTCTCCTCGTCTCCTACCTGTCTTCCCTCCCACGCGCGTGCACCTGTCATCCTCGAGTCGTGTACGCGAGCCGTTTCTTACAGCGCGTACATACACGTACGTGTATCCCACCACACACATGCATATACGTATCGCACGTACACGAGTTCAGGCGGAAAGAGACGCGTTAAATACACACAAGCCCGAAGCAGCTCGCATAATATCGTGCCTCTGCCTGTGTGTGTGTATATACGCGAGGATGCAGCCGGCTCGACATATCTGTCCGTGTGTGCACATACGAGATCGCACTCGTCTCTCGGCTGCAACGAGTCCATCTATGCAGCAGCGCGCACCCTATCACACGGGATCGCGAGACGCGCCTCGATGTGTGTAAGTGTGCAAGCGCAGGAAGTCGACTACGACCCGCTGATGTGAATGTTTCGCCGAAAGCCCTTCTTCTGTATATTCAGCCAGTGAGATGTGCTCCAGCCCGACGAGACACGCTCTTTTGGATAGCAGCCTTTTTTTATTCGGCCGCTGCCGAGCGCGTTTATTGTTGTTGCCATTGTGCGGCAGGCTTCGACTCAAAATCATCCTTGCTTTTATTTGTCAAGCCAACTTTTACGTAATTCAGAATAATTTTTTTAGATATACGTCCAAAATTGTTTAAAACAGGTCGACAAAATCAATTTTAACTTTGACAGGCATCTTATAATTAATGTTCAGCCGACTCCAAGCTAATGTAATTGAAAGGCTTGAGCACGTGCATAATTTCTTACGGCACTTGAGCCAGCAGCAGTTGGAAGCACAGATAAAAAAAGAAAAGCTCTTTCTAAAGAAAATCAAACGTATCTCTGAAGCATCTATGCTCCGAGAGAAGGCAGGTGTCTCGTTGATTGCAGCTCGTTATGCAAAAGTTTCCTTTTTTTTCGCTACACAAACGCGTTTGTGTGTATGCGTCTCGAGAGAAACTTACGTAATCGCGGGAGAGAGAAAGAACGAGAGTGAGTGAGAGAGAGAGGAAGAAAAAGCGCGATAGGTCGACTTGCACATTTTATTTCTGTTTTTGGGCGTATATTTTTATACACTTACGCACCTGTCGGCTAGCGCAGCCGCCGCATCGTTGTATTCCGCGAAAATTGCCCGCTGGATTTTGATTCGACGCCGACATTGTTGGTATAATACGCGTGCGATTTATAAAAGACGATGAATCGACGAGAAATGCCAATAAATACGTGTGTGTGCGCGCGCGCTTGTGTGTGTGTGTGTGTGTGTGTGTGTGTGTGTGTGTGTGTGTGCAAGTGAAGCGCTGCTGAGCGATTAAAAGTCGAGCTGTGCTCGCGCGCGAGACATTGCCGGCGCGCGAGGGACGTGGTCAAGGTTCACGAAAACAAGAAAAAAAAAATACGATGAAATAAAAAAAGAAAAAAAAACAGAAACGAAGAGCGCGTCGATGGTCGAAGGTTACGTTGCAATTAAGTGATTTACCGAGCGCGCGCACAGTCCTTCCTACTCTCGGCTATGCCGCGAGATCCCCCCTCATGGCATCGCGTTTATGTACTTTTTTTTATTCTTCTCCTTTTCCTATATAGAATATAACTTGTGTATGTGAGGCTGGGTATGTGTGTGTGTATCTCGCAGTGCGCAAGCGAAGAGCGACTAATTATCCTGCTGCACGAAAGACTCTCCACATGTATCTCGGATGTTATTCCTCTGCGCTGGCTTTTTTTTCTTCGTCTTCTTTCTTTCTTTTTTTTGCTCCTCACGCTCTCTGTGTTTCGTCGTTCACGTTTGTCAATTAAAGATATTAAAAGTGTTTGTGATAAATTATACGTATTATGAGATAAGCTGTGGGTACTACACGACGTCTGTACGCTATAATATAGTCGGTACACGAGATCCGAATGTTTCATTCCCTCGTCTACAATGTGTTGTACGGAGAGCAAATACACTATATGTCGTACTTGCGTATATTTTCCACATATTTCACACGAATGAATCTAGCGAAAAAAAATCTGAGCTTAGAAAAAAAAAGTAAAATTTGTCATAGTCGCGAAAATGAATTTTTTCCCGTCAAATCGTCCGTGAAAGCTTGACTTAGCACGACGAGCCATACATATTCTCTTGGACTCGGGCGTTATGCGAACGATACCCGAGACGCCTCGACGTCGCGGCGGAGGCACCGAGTGCGCAGCAAGTCGGTCTGATTAACGAACGGCCACTTTTCATTTCAGAAATATCTCTTGGCTTGGACACGCGCGCGTGTGCAGCATAAGCAAAGCTCCTCGCGCGCGAGCAAGAGTAAGAGTGAGAGAGAGAGAGAGACAGAGATTGTGCAGAGCGCAAAAAAACGAGGACAGCCGGGGTCGATCGTAGGCGTGGCCAGAAAACATACTTACGACGCTCGGACAAACCAACTTTTATTCATCTTGCTCGATCTGTCGTTGTTTTCGCAAACGCAATCGTCTATTACGAGAAATCGTCATCCGTTCTCGAATTGATTCCTTTCTTTTCGTATGGAGTCGTAACTGCAGTGAGCGTCGATTTACTGATTGATTTTTAGAAAAGTATTGAGGGTAAAAAAAGCAAAAAACAGAAAAAGAATATTTAATTTTTTACGGTTTGTTTATTTCGTTTTAATCATTTTTGTGGATTTCTTTTAATATTGATGAATGATTCATAATAGATCTATAATATATAATACATCATAGTGTTTCGATTTTATACATAATAGATATGTTATATGTACAGACATTCGACGTGACCGAAAACAGTGGATTATCATACTATATTTTAATATGAGCTGACCGTGTAATGTAATTATGCCTTATGATTTAGTTAATAATCGTAATAATAATAATAACTTATGTTTACCATTATCTATACGTATGTGTTATCACAATGACAACGAAGCTCGGTGGCGATTTTCCAGCTCGCTTCGCCATCGTAAGCACGCTAACCGAATTCGCGCTTTTCCAATATCATATAATATAGTTATCGTCTTTTATATTTTACCTACATAACATACATTGTGATTGGTATATATATCAGTGTCTAAAAAAAACGCAACGTTATTACATGAACCGAATCACCCGCACATGCAAATATATACTAATCAAAACAACTACAGCTTTGAAGCTAGGCGCTGACATTTATAACAATTCTTAGCTAAAACTTAATTGTCTAGTTTAAAAATTAACTTTATTATTTTAAAAATTTTCCGTTGACTATATTACAAGGACTTAAGAAGCAATATTATACAAATTCCTTCAGACTATACGTGGTTGTGCTCTTGGAGCACGACGTTAATGAGTAAAATTATGTCATGAAATTAAAACGTCCGCAGCACGACTTTATTGCACGCTTTTTTTTTTGTAAAATCAGATTTGTTTTTAATAAAAATAACATCGATACGAACACATCGCTACGAGTAAGTCTCAATGGTCTGGGTCTCGTAGATCTTTGGAAACGATAGTAATAGTTGCCAATGCGAGCCGGACCATTGAAACTCGGCCAGTTTTGACGTCCGAGATTTTTTGGCGTTATCAATAGATAAAAGCTCGAAAATCGTCTACATCGCGCCTTATCGGTAATTCGCGGCGTCATTACTGGCACAGTCTCGGTGCCTCGAAAGGAAGTTGCATCGCTGAGCCAATTCGTGATGTAGATTCCTCTCGAGCGTCGAGTCTATGGTCGGCGGTGGCGGCGGCGAGCGAGCCATTTTCCTCTCTGTGACGTTCTACTGACCGTAGCCGTGGCCATTGTGAAGGGCCAGACGCTGAATAAGCGACAGCCACGAGAGCAACTGATTGGGGTACTGACCCGGAGCTCCGTGGGGTGCTCCCGCTGCTGCTGCGGCGGCGGCCGCTGCGGCGATGTTCGGGTCGATGCCGACTGGGAGCCGTGGCTGGTACATGCTGGGCCAGACATCGAACCCACTCCTGCCGTTGGCTGCCGCCGCTGCCGCTGCCGCTGCGATTTCGGGTGGCGTGAGCCGTGGATGGGGCATGCCGAACGGCGTGGCGGCCGCATTATACGAGCCAGCTGCTACAAGGAGTTGCATTTGTAAAGCTTGCTCCTGAACATAATGATTGTGCATAGCCGCTCGACGATCGTCAGCAGTGGGTGCATACTGCGCATCGATCATTCTCGGCGGATTAAGCGAGAGTACCGGGTGTGCAGACTCACCTTCGTCAATTCGTGCCTCCTGCGCCCTTGCGACTTTTCGCTTTTCCTCCGCCGGCTCGTGCTCGGACTTGGGGCTCTCCACTCTCGATATCGTGGACGCCGGAGTGCGCTCGCGATTATCTCGGCTGGGACTGGTCCGCTGACTCCTGCAGTCGGACAGCTGGGGCGACTTCCTCGGCGACTCCTTCATCGCTGCGACGATCTCTTTCTCCTGCGACATCCGACTGTTTTTCGTTTCGTTGTCGTCGCCGCCGCACTTGGACGTCGCGGGACTGCTCGCTCGTGAGCTGAGATTCTCGGGCTGCTGCTCTCGAGCCTCGGCTTCCTCTGTGTTTTTGGTTTTTGCTTCGCTTTTGTCTGCCGGAGAATCACGATGCTCGGCCTGTGGCGTAGTCGCGACATCGCTGCGACTGTCCGAAATTGCCTTTTCCGATTCTTGTGCCGGGGAATCTTTTTCCGTTTTGACTTCCACGCTGTTGGGTTTGGCCGTGGCCGACAAGTCCTCGGGCTGATCTTCCTGCGTGGCGTGGGCGGCGTCGTTCGATGATTCGTTATCGGTGGACGACGAGTTGACCTCGACGCGAAGACTGCACCTCGTTGGATTCTGAGATTTGCGCTTGCGAACGCCGCGATTGTTCAAGAACGCGGGGTTGGACGCAAGATGGGCCGCTGCGAACGGCTGAGGCTCTCCTGTCTCAACGGAGGCCGCGTCTTCGTGACTACTGTCGGCGTTGCTGTTCATGTCGTCGTCGCCCGTGGACAATCTCAATCTTTTGGCCGAACTATTCAAGCTAAAGTCTGCAGGTTGGTCTTCTTCTTCGTTTTCGTCTTGATGTGGTTTGACCTGCATCATATCCTCATCGCCAACAACGACGATACCGTCGTCGTCATCGTCGTCGTCGTCGTCGCCATCGAAAGTATCCGAGTGACTCCTGAGCGGTGGGGATGAAACGCCGTGGTTCAAGTGAGATCCAGGCCCGGCGAGTCTCTGCTGAGCCGCCAGTGACTCCTCGTAGGCTCGATTATTGTGCGCATTGGACTGGTCCATGAATTTGGGATCGACGCCGCAGAGAGAGGCGGGCGAGCGCAGTTCCGGAGGCGGTGTGAGCATCGGGTAGGAGCCGAACGGCAAATGGGGGTTGAAGCTGCTGGGGGCCAAGGGCATGCCCGGCTGCGGCATCACGAGCGAGTGTGCCATCGACGAGCGGCCGTCGTGCGGAGAGATCTTGCGCCTGAGGTGCGGCGAGTGAAGCTTTGGATTGGGATTGGCGCTGTGGCGATTGCGCGAGCGCCGCGAGCTGAACATCATGCTGCAGCCCTTGACCGTGCACTGGTGCATCTCGCGCAGATGAACGGCGCTGAAGTGGATCTTGAGGGCGCCCTTGTCGCAGAACGTCTTCAAGCACACGTTGCACTGGACGCGCTTCTTGCCCGTGGCCGGGTTGATGAAGGGCGTGCCGAGATTCGGCGGTATGTTGCTCGAGGCGCCCCACTGCTGTCGCTTGCCCGGCGAGCTGGACTTTCGGCTCGGCGGCGCCGGTCGGCTGTTGAGCGGCTGAGATCCAAGGAACTGTCGGCTGCTGTTGTTGGCTGGCTGGGCCTCGGCGGGATTGTACCTGCTCTGTTTCGCGGGCCTCCAGCTGGTCGAGAGGTTGAGGGCGCTGCCCGAGTTCTCGTCCGACAGGTCGTCCTCTTCCGAGCCGCTGGCCTTGTCCGTCGACGAGGCCGCTTCCGAGTGGTGCTCGTTGTTGTTTTTGCTAGCCTCGACGCCGCCGGCTTTCACGGCGCCGAGCGGGGGATAGGACTTTGTGTGCGAAAAGCTGTGGGGCGAGAAGGCCGACGAGACCCCGGTGATGAGATCGCGAGCGAAGGAATTGGCGGACCTCAAGCCTTGGCCGAGGCTCGGGTGGTGGTTCGGGCTGGACTCGTGGTTGTCCCTCCGGCGGGCCGAGGCTGCTGCGTTGGCGGAGGCCGCGCTGGCCGACTGTATCTGCGCGGCCATGGTCGGGAAGTGGGCCTGCATGCCGAGGCTGCTGAGCTTGTGAAAGTCGAAGGGCTGCATGTTCTGCAACTGATTGAGCGGCGTGCCGGCGTACTTGCTGACTACGGCGGCTACGGCGGCGGCGGTTGCGAGATTCGACTGCGGGGGCGAGGTGGCGCTCACTGGACTACTGGCCGAGGTGAAGTGGTGCGGCCTGGACGTGGGCAGGCTGTTGGCGCCGCTCGAGCTCGGCGACAGGGGATGGTGATGGGGGTGGTGCGGCAGTGGTACGAGGCCTTCCGGCGACAAGCCCGGCGCGCCCGACAGGGGCAGTCCTCCGCAGTGCAGCAGATGAAGCGGTGGGGGCAAATGCGCTAGAGGCATTGTCGGTGGCGATTGTCGCCTGCTCGGTGACATAACATCCGCAGTATGAGTACTGCCCAAGGTGGAGATCGACGTGGACACTGCTTCCTGCTGCTTCGTTTGCTGCTGGGACTTGCTGCTCGCTGCTGAGCCGACTCCTCCTGCCGTGGCCTGCAGTAGCTGCTGCGCGAACGGACGCGTCTCGGGGAATTTCAGAAACTGCTGTAGAACTAGTGGCTCCTCCTCAGCCGTGCAGACGCTCCATCGGTCCAGAACTGAACCGTTTCTGTAAGAGTCCTGAAACAGCAACGACAACAACGATTTTTCTATTAGCTCACGCTTTTTCTGGATTTATTTTTAAAAAAGTTTTCTCAAAAGAAAAAGTCGCTGTTTTGAATTTATTACTTTCGAGGGCAACGGCGCGTAAAAAGACGCGATGAAACTACTTATTCTAGTTATTTCGGTCCATCGTATCGAAGAATTGCGGCACAAGTGTGCGCAGAGGCGCCAAGGCGAAATTCTCGCCTCTGTCTCGACAAATTTGGCGCTTCGTGTCTCGTGCGTGTGTAGTGCGCGCCTATGTTTACGCATACCTTCGCGAGTGTGTGTATATTTCTCTTGCAATGCGCACCGCTGTCCGTGCGGCTGTTCAGAATTTTTTAACGCCCATGATTTTTTTTTCTCTCTGCTCGTGTGCGCGCATTCGATGAGTGCCCTTCGCGTACGTACGGTTAAAAATAATCGTAACGATTTTTGAAGAGAGAGAGAGAGAGAGAGAAAGAATTGGCGCGCCAAATGTCATTCGCGCTTTCAGAGCGTTGTAAACAAAAAGTGCATTTTTCCAGAAGGACGGACAACGCTTGAAATTCACCCGGAGCAAGTGGTGCTGAAAAGTGTATTATTATTGTGCGCGGAACAAAGGCCTCGCACTCGGTCAGAAGATGCATGAAAAAAAAAAAAACTACCGGCAGCAAGAGAAAGAGTGAGACGGAAAGCGAGAAAGAAGGAGAAACAGGAGAAAAATCCCGCCTCCTGCAATGGAGCGGCCCCGGCAACTACTACCGTGCGCATATTACAATAGCGAACCCTTTGTGCAGTACGAAATGAATGTGCAAGTGTAAATAGCGCTATGGGTTTAGCAATGCGTAACGTGAAAATCTTGGAAACGGTCAGTGTCGTTATATGCAAAGTTTCAAGCGCTGCGCCACTCGTCGGCCAATGCACAGAAGAGCACCGCATGTACTCGGAACATTAGAAACATGAAAAAATACTATAGGCAATGGCGTCACGTACATCAGCAGCAGTAGAGGTAGCGGCAGCGGCAGCGAAACGAAAGATGGTGCATTAAGCAAGCGTGGGACCTGAATTTTCAATTTTCTTATACTACCTCTCGCGTATACGCGGCTAAAGTCCGTCACGCGCGACATACCTGCATCCATGCGGATTCGGACTTTAATGACGCCCGCAAAACGTCAATCACGCGAAAGCGCATTACAATTTACGCGAAATGAATTTGAAATTTCGGCCTGAAATTATGATATTATAATAAGTCTCTCGGCCTCGTGTACGTGAAGCAGTATCAAGATGTGCTGCATACATATTATGCACACATCTAACGGTTCGGTGCGGTGGTAGGCAGTCGTGACGCGATGAAGCGAAACCAAGCCACGCACTTTTTTTTTCTAAATACCATATCGTATACACAAGCGCAGTAGAGTATTATAATATAATATAGCGCGTTGCACTCGGACGATATAAAAGGCTGCAAAACTATTTGCGCTGACGGCTACGTGCAGTTTCCTCGCGGGTAATTTTCAGCGTTTATCACTGGCACATCGGGTGCATTATGTACCGACGGAAATTAAATAAATAAATAAAAATTTTACAGAGTAGAAAGAAAATCTCGAAACTGCCTTACATTGCGAGCTGCAACAAAGTTTCCGCGGCAACAGCAATGGCAGTCTTATAGTGTAGCAGTAGCAGCGCTTCTCGAACCGTCGGCAAAGCGCAGTGCAGTATACTATACGAGAGCGAAGTGAAGGGGACGAGGCGCGTCGCGAAATCGACCCAGGCGGAGTCGCCACCTAGTGTCCGACAACCGAGCCTCGTATACACTACCGTGACTTTATAAGATACATTCGCCGCCGCCGCCGTCAAGTGTATATAGCGAGAGCGCATACGATTTCACGCTTTATACTCTTCGTTGCGCACACGGCACATACACAGCACGCGCGTGTGTGTAGAAATCGTGAAGATTTCACGTTGGATATATGCACTGTCTTTCTCTCAGAAATCGTATGGTGTTACCCCAAAGGCTTTTCTCCTAAAACTGACGAGTTTTTTTTACTACTACTACTGTAAGCCTCGGCCATCAGTCACCTACTGTTCTCGCGAACAAGCGTCTCGTTGTACACGCGCGTCGAGCAAAAAAAAAAAAAAAAAAGACGTCAAATTAAATAAAACAGCAGCGGACAATGAGAGATGTCTGGCAAGCGATAATAGACGAGTATTCAGTGTTTGCCTAGCGTACGTACATATGCTGCCGCCATATATATGCTGCTCGTTAAATCGCTCGACATTACGTAAAACACAAGCGCGAGAGGACACTCGCGAGCGTCCACTGTTACAACGAAAGGTCGTCTAGCGTGTATAGCGTGCGAGTTCCCGAGACCATCCTCGACGTTTTCTTCTCGACTACAGCAGGCCGCTATATGCGATTTGGAGCTGGAATGCCAAATGCTCGATGTCGCTCCGTTTATGAATACGCATTATTTTCCTTTCATCCGTACTACAACTCTTTAACTGCGCGTCGCTGCTTTTTTTTTTTTTTTTTAATGACTCGACACTCAACGGGATAATCTTCGAAAAACCGTGCTGAGCTGACGGTTAAATTTTTCCTCGACGTTTTCCACCTGTTACGGTTTAAGTGGCATAAGCTTACTCGAATCGCGCGACAGAAGCTGATTCCGGGACTCGGTTAATCTGGCTAATTTTCTTCTAAGACGGATCGCTCGACGACTTTTCTCCGCTCGCTCCCTCGGCTAAACGATAACGACGTCGCGACGACGACGACGTCGCACACTTTGATGCACCAAGCGGAAACGGAAGAAGCGACGTTTCTTTATATATAACGCTGGCGCGGTGCGCATTATCGAATCACGAGTACTGCACACGGCTTCGCGTCGTGAGAAAAAGAAGCTATGCCTTCATATTGTATCCACCCACGTAATGTACACGCCAGCGCGTTCCTATAATTGTTCGTATATAGCGTAGTTTTTTGTTCAACGCATGTGTGTGTGTCTATGTGTGATTACGCTCGTCGTCTGCAGCAATCGCGCACCAGTTTTTTTTCTTCGTCGCAATAACTTTTCCCTTTTGTCGGTTGCCGCGCGTGGCAAAGTCGCTCTTTTCTCTTTCGTAAGAGGGGAAAATCGCGCGCGCGCGCCCGAGGAATGTTACATTGTTTTCGGCGACATGCGCTTCAACGCGGCAAAATCAAGCGCGCGTACACATGCATCGCACGAAATTGGCATCGGGGGACGACGTTCGCCATATTAGCTCCGATGTAAAGTAGACGCGCGGCGGTGACGATGATTAGAGCGTGGGGAAACGCGTACTTTTTTGCCGGAATTAGCAGTCGGAGAATAATCGTTGCCGCTCTGTGCACGACGTTGCGTAAGCACTTATAATGCATATAACGTCGTCCCGGAGTCGAGAAGAGACACTTGTAGTTTTACCTTAGCTATTTAAATTGTTCCGCGCATCTCGCTGTTTTTTTTTTCTGCTTCGATTTCGTCGACTCGGCAGAGAACCCGATTATAAAATATTTATCGTCGAGACACGAGAAGGCTCGCAAATATATGCGTGCGTGGACATGTTTATCCAATTGGAAAGAGGACAAAACAAAAATCGGCCGATAAAAATACCCGAGAGAGGTAGAATCGCCGCGGGTATACACACTCGCGTACAGGATCTTGCCCGTATTATCTTAAACAAACGATCGATTTTCTCTCTTTGCGCGACACATATAAGCGGGGAGACAGACGGCTGCGGCTGCCTCATAATATTATGCATATTTCCAGGCTTCTCGTCTGTTTCTCATTTACTCGCTTTTGCTGCCGCTGCTGCGTGCGCGCTCGAGTTGAGTTGTAACGCGACGACAGCAGAATACAAAAACGATGACGCGATCTATGTCTGCTGCATCGAGTATAATAAATACGTAAACGATGAATATCCTGGCGCGATGGGAAATGGAAAAAGGTCGAGCCGAGTCAGGCGCGTTGAATAATGGAGATTCCGTCTTAGTTAATACCAAAGACACCTGTCATTACTGCCCGATCTCTCGCGACTCGAAGCTCTTTCCGTCAGCGATATATTTTATTTCGCGCGCATATACGTGTACGTAAACGTAAACGTGTGTACGCGCGTAATATAATCGTTCTGGCGCCCGCAGCGATCCACAGGCTGCATTTTTTCGCGCGTACGCGTCTTTCTCTCGCGTTTTAAAATGTTTTAATTCGGTATACGAAGCACCGACGGGACGAAAAATCATTGGAACATAACACAACATCGCATATAGTAACAGCTCGCGCGCGCGGCTGCACTCGTAAAAGCTCGAACGCGTGATCGTTAAACAAGTGTAACAGTCTCTCTCTCTCTCTCTCTCTGCAATGCTAGATCTCCTCCATGCGACTTTCCCACAGGAGCTCGTCGGCTACTGTGAGCGCATTCGTGCATATACATATCGATCGGCTCGATTCGCGTCTTCTCGCCCGTCATGGATCAGAGAAAACCACTGGATGCAGCGCGGCAGCCCTTGTGAATAACGGAGGACGGGGACTATGGCTACACAGTAACACACACATACACACTTAGACATTCCGCGAGTTTTATCGCGCGACTCTGCGCCGTTGTTGTAATAAATCTTCGCAACAACGTGCATATGAGAATAAAGCCGCAGAGAGAGAGAGAGAGAAAGAAAAAGCAACATCGGTAACAACAGCGCATATATATCGTTATTTTCTCACTTGTAGTATTTTTCGCTGGGCGGCGATGTTTTTTTTTCTTTTTCTTTTTTCAAGAGCGTTTTCGAAAAATCGTTTCGGTCTCGCTGCGTGATTTTCTTGGGGTATAGTTTTTGGACCTGTGCCACCGACCGACCGACGACGGCGACATATCGAGATGTGTACACATGAAAATAAGATAAAAGCCGAACGTCGCGTCCGAAAAAACTGGTTTTTCACGGCAAACGCCGCGAACGGAGCCTACGCGCGCGCGATTACGTCGTATCTCTACACAATGGCTTTCTCTCGTGCGCTCGTATCGTATATGCGCTTTCGTGTTAGCCGAGGTGCAGCAGCGGTGTAGCGCAGCACACGAAACGCGACAGGTGGCTTTATATCTCTGCGGCGCATTTTCGGAGCGCGAGAGCAATAATCAGAGACCCGTTGCCGCCGACGCTCGCGCGCTTATACGTACTCGTTCGCGCGTACACCGAGCCTCGTTTTTTTTTTCTACGACGACGCTTTTGCAAATTCCCTACGAGAGAGAGCAAGTTAGTGCAAAATAAAAAGCAGTTGTTGGCCGCGCGAGTCAGAGAATTAAAAATAATTTGCATACTGCAGAGTCGAGAGCGAGTCGCGAGATTTGCGGCAATGAAAAATAATGACAAAGTCCGTTGACGATCCGTAGAATAACAATTGCGCCGTAGAGGAGAACACAACGAACGTACGTGCATGTGTATGTGGATGTGTCTGCCGTGCGCGTAACGCTAATTAAAATTACTCTGTGTATGTGTGTGTGTGTGAGCTACTCGAGAGACGTAATGGCTTAAACGTTCGAAGAAAAATCCTCCGAAAGGGTGCAACTAATTGAACTAGCTCGGCATTATTTCAATAACGCAACGAAATTGCCGCGCGCGAGCAAGTCGTCAACCGAGTGTGTCTTTACGGGAAAATATGATGTCTAAGCGGGTAATTGTTGCATTACGCACGCTGTACGACTGCTGCTTGCTGCTGCTTTATATAGATTTTTCTTTATTTTTTTTTCAATGCTGAACCAAATGTTACGATTGGGCAATTAGATTTTTTCGTCATTTGCCAGCAGTCGCGCGTCAATATTCTGCCGATGAAACGACATTTAATAAGAGCCATTATCTTGCACAAGTCGCACTCGACGCTTAATAATCGAGTACTTTTAAAAGATATTAGTTTGTTAAAATAATATTTATATTTCTAGGCTACTGTAGAAGTTCTAAGAAAATAGAGTTAATTTGAGGGTAAACATGTATGTAAGAATTGGCAGAAGAAACGAAGAGCGGAAAATTTCATAAACACACATCACAGTCTTATTGAATAGAATAAATCGCTTCACTTGGACACCAATTGATAGACGATGAGCCGAATTCGGCAAACGTGTACCGGGCAGTTCACAGCGGGTCATAGACCTGGTCAGCGGTGTCACTTTGCGTACGATGCGTTGCGAGCTCGTCCTTAACAACAATCGCATTGGCTAATTCGATGTGTTGCAACTATTGTTATAATGACATACGCGAGTCTCGTTTTACAATGAAACGACCGAAGTAGAGAGCCAGAGGCAATATGGATAATAACGATGAGACTATAAGTCTTTGCACATATGCTCGTTAATTAAATCATCTCCGTATGACTCGGGCAATTACTTCACTCATTGAGGTAAACGTTTTATGCAGATTCCAGGGTTTTTTGTTGTCGCGCTTATCCTTGACACGAGTGATTTTCTTGCGTTGAGCGAGCCCTGCACTCGTATAGTATAGCGCACCCCTTGGTCGTACGCCCAACGAGCAAGCGTATCCTCTTGGATAAATCTGATCGCGATCCGAGGCTCGCTTACTGTGATAATATGGCCGAGGGGTAGCAAAAATCACAACACGCACGAGACGTCGTTTTCTTTGCGTGCGAGACGACGATGATGATGGTGCATGCGGCGGCGGCGGCTTCGTGACACAGGTACCCATATACACACAGATACACGCAGCACTGCCAGAGAGAGAGAGAAAAGATGTATATTGCAGAAATGGCGCAAAGACCAGCAGGGGGCAAACCGGTTCTCCTCGTCGTCGTCGTCCTCTGTATATGTGTGTAATCCTTTTCTCTCTCGCGACGATGCTTAATTTCACGCTAACGCCACATCAAGCGCGAGGACTTTGATTTTTTTTTACCCTCCTTCGTATATAAAGTTCTTTTTTTTGTCGGGCCTGTGCGGCATCGCAATGTTTACACATCCTCGCTGTACGAGCTGCACACGCAAATTCGGTGTGTGTTTTTTTTTCTTCCACTCGCAATCTCTATCTCTGTCGGAGATCAGTCAACACTTTGCATCACTAAAGTCTTTCGATTGTCTATCGAGAGTTTCGTCGGTAAATAGGCGCGACACTTTAAAGACACACTGTTTCGGTGGCTCGCGCTGATAGAGACGAGGCCACGTCGCAAAAATCACATTTTCACTTGGTCGCGCCATGCCGCCGACGTCGTCGTCCGCCGCGGTTGTCGTCTCCGCGTCTGCTCTCGATACCATCGGCTAATCGTTTGCGTGTCATAAACGTTTGTTCTCGAAGATTAATTTTAGAAACGATGTCGTGGATGTGCCGCGCGCTGCGCTTGTCGTTTCGCAGGCACACTGCTGTCATCGTTCTGCACGCGCACTGCCCTGTCTCTCTCTCTCGCTCCGATGATGTTTGTCCAAGCTGACAAGGTGTTTGTGCGAGAGAGAAAAAACTGCATCACTGTACCGCCGGGCCTCTCTGACACATAAAGCACAGAAAATTCACGCACATGTCCATCTCGAGTTTTCGTGCACTTTACTTTTCACCTTGTAGTTTTTGCACGGTGACACATTATTACACATATAGTCTTGTTTGCAAATGGTATTGTCACTCATGACGAGTATGTAACGCGCACAAATTTATCACATCGACCCAAATTCTCACTGGTTTTTCTCTTCCATGTCGTTTTTCACTGAATCGTTTTGTCAATTTCACTTTGATCCTTATCGAACTTTAGAGTTTGTTTTAGTTGCTATTAATATCGAATGTTAGCCAAATGAATGTCGGTGAGTGTACCGAGCTTGTGTTAGCGACACTTTAGACTTGCGAGTCGAAATCGACAGAATTTAGTTCGTTACGCGTGAAAGCAAGGGTTGACAAGAAAAGATATAAAGCTCGAGCAAAGAGACAGAGAAACATTAAAGAGGAGTCCAAGTACGAAAATATATATCGGAACGAGATGTGCGTGTATGCGTTGTTGGACACCCGTCGCGCGAAGCGGCAACGATGACAGGTGTCAAATAAGAGTCGCTTCAAAGAGCGTCAAAAAGCGTGTATTTTTGGAATATAAGCACAAGTGGCATTAAGCGACGATGCGCGACTCTTTTAGAACATTGTGCGCGAGAGACAAATAGACAAGTATCAAGCAAGAGCTGCACAGGATCATAGAGAGCAAGAGAGAGAGAGAGAGGAAAAGAGATGAAAGAGTTAGATGAAATGCTTGGATTAAAGCCTTACCTGCAGTATATATCCACGTGCGAAATCGTCCAAAGTCCAGCCGAACTTGGCGAGCAAATCTCGAACTCGCTGCTTGCTAAACTTTGCGAACAACTGGTCGAGTGCGATTTTCAGCGGCAACGGTAACGCGCGGGCTCCGTAAAGCACTAAAGAGACAACGTCGTGCACGAGCGTATGACGAGCAGCGTCCGTACGTGCGCACTCGTCGGTCTGTGTCGTGGTACTGAGCTGATGAAGTGGAGGCGAGCGGCGGCGGTGGCAGGCACTCGCGGCAGCGGCGGCGGCAGTGTGACTCGATCCCTGGTGGGGGTTCCCCGCTGCTGCTGCTTGTTGCCGCTGCTGCTGCTGCTGACTGACGTTATCCCCACCACCGGCGAGGACAGCGACGGCAGCGGCACCGCTACTACCTCTGCTTCTGGCAACAGCAGCTGACGACAGTCGCGCGAGAGCTGAAACACACAGACGAACGCACACAGGCTTAGTTATGGTCTCTCGGCTTGGCGTCTCTCTCTCTCTCGCACTCCGCACTCGAGGACTGCCGAGCAGTCGTGTGGCGCCACCTGCACGATTGCCGCAGCCCGACTTGCCCGACGCTCGAGCCGAGCCGAGCCGTATAATATAACATGCCACTCCGCGCTCTCATTCGTCCTACTTCAAAGCAGTGTCATATCGTACGGACCTCCTCCTACTCTCTGGCTTAAGCCGCGATTCGTTATTACGATGAGCTCCGATCTGCTATGTACGTGTGCGTGCGTGTGTATTGTTTAATCGAGAGAATCGTGAGCACGTCTCGTCGATGTTATACATCTGGGATAAGTGTGCTGGACGCGCGCGCCACGACGTAGGTGGGTCAGTTAATTGTTAATGCTAGTCGTGTGCCGCTATAATGTGGGTGTGGACTATAAAACGAGAGATGCGAGCCAAGAGCGACGCTCGGAAGCAGTTGTGGCTCTCGCGCTCTCCGCTCTTGGGCTTAGCGCATTTTCACGACTCGTTTTCCCCCCCGACAATTTTTTTTTATTATATAACCATTGCCAAAAAGTCGAGGCCGTCAGCGATTCGCTGGCTTTTAGGCTTCTCCTCTCGGTTTCGCTCATTATATACCTTTCCCAGCTCGTTCATACGTGAATGTTGAATTAAAAAATCTGATCCACGCGCCGTGATTTGACGCTCGATTCGTTTCTCTATGTATACGTTGAGAAAGAGCGAGAGAGATTTGATCGGCGAATTAAACTCGCGCTAGACGCGTTGAAAACCGAAACTCTTTCGATCACGATCAATTAATGAGAATCTTTTTATATCCGAATAATTGCGCCTCGAGCGCGTACACACAGGCGTGTTAGCTGCGGCTTATACGTGTACGATTCAAACACTCGCTAAATTGACATTAAAAGCGAGCGCGCAGAGCCGTAAGTCTGTATCCTTTCTTTTACGGCCAATGCAGCTGCCTCGATGCTCTTTAATAAGTAATTAAAAAACTCTTTCTTTTTTTTTCTTACTCGTCCTGTGGCAAGTGCATTGGCAGGAGAAAGCGCACATATCGACTTTCATTGACTAATTCGGCTCTGTCGCTTTGGTGCTCGGTACCCAAAGCAATATATATTGTAATATAAATTCAGAGAACATCGAGCAGGCAGAAAGTATAAAGGAAATAATATTACTATCTAATGACCTATAACGTTAAGGTTTTGAAAATAAAAAAATGCTAAAATAATTTTCATTAATTTTGAATTCGTTCGATTGCAATGGGAAGCTTTGAGGGTTGAGTTTTTATATTTATATAGTTATTAAGGTTTTATTAATCTCACTATTTTGCTAAATCTAAATGATGATTAAATGCAACATACTGGCAAAACTATTGTTGTATTTGTAAAGCATTTCGTATAGAAAATTCGAGCATCTCCTACGTGTTCGATCATGTTACTTGAATTTTTGCACAGAAATAGATGCATGGTTAGAAATGAAATTTTATTGCTTTGTTACATATTCGAAAATGTAGCAGCTAAAGATTACGGCCCGTTCCACATAATTATATACGTGTATTTAATATTTTCAACTCTTGACGAGCAGAGAGTCAAATATCTGCTGTTATACCGGTGCAGCGTGTACTACATATCAGAGGCCGAAAAACAAAGTCCACAAGTAAATACTTCGCGCGCGCTCGCTCATCCCCTCGTGCAGTGCACTTTGTATATGTGTATGTATGTATATATCGCATCGGACGCCAGCTCGAGCGGCTATATGTGTTGCAAATACTCCAGCTCTCAAAATTTAAAGCTCGCGCAAAGGGATGAATGGACGCAAAATCGCATTTCCCGCAGCGCGTAATAAACAAACAGGATTAAACATGGTGCACACACATACACACGAGGCTCACAGGCCTGCTCTGTTGCTGCTGCAAGGCCGGGGCGAGATTCCCTCTAAATTTTTTTCTGATTTTCCCAGTGCGCGCACGTACCAACATATATACGTACGGGTACGGCTCGTACGGCCATTATATTTCGAACGCATATCGAGTTGCTTTAGCTGCAGGATTTTCGCCTCTTTCCCGTGATCTTTTTACCCCGGAATGCAAAGGCTCGCATATGTGCATGCAGCACATTCTACATAGCAGCAGCAGTGGACGTGTATCGGATTTTCGAAACGTCGCGTTAACGTCAATATTTGGCCGAGCTTGCGGTGCGATGCTTCGCTGCACTGCATATACACGCGTTTATAACCTTTTCTTGCTTTATTTTCCAGAGAAAACGGCCACGAGCAAGCTATACACAAGAACGTATAATCGAGCACCGACTGCGTTTTTTGTCTATTGTATGTACGTTCGCAACACAGACGCGCGTTTATAAGCAAAGGATGTGAGGATTTTTTTGAGATCCGAATATGCATTTTTCCTGTCGTGAGGATAGACATTTCGTCCGAATAAGTATGATATTCAAATCAACTTTACTTTACTCGTTTTTCTTCCTACCTGTATTTTACACATTTGTTAAGGTGTTCATAATAAAACGACAAAATATTAAAAACGGTACATCTTATGATTTTCAAATATAAGAGAAATAACTAATAAAGCTATTGTAGTAACCTGATACAAAAAATTATGCGTCGAAGATATCAGACGAATATTTGAGTTTTCGAGCACGAAATTATCTTATCAAAAAATAACTACATGTTTCAACTGGTATAGGTACATCTGTTCAAATGAGTAACCAATCATAAAAATATTAATAAGTATAGTACCCAAAGGTTGAAATGATTTATGATACTTATTAAAATATGACAGAAAATATGATTTATGATAGTCATACACCAGATTTTGATAATGCTCAGGTTCTCTTAGATACACGCCTAAAAATGGTCCGTTAAAAATTTTGAGATAGAAAATTGTATCTTTTTTTAATGGATATCGTGACGTGAACGGGTTATAAGTAATGATCAGATGTCTTCAAGTATGACAATATTTTGATTCAAATAGGGTATGAGTGAACTCGTGATGGAAAAAAATTGAAATGTTTCTCACCTCATGCGACGAGTAATACATCGACTTAGATCAAAATTAGGCGTTACATTTGCTTCCATTTTAAATATATCCAACTACTCCCAAGCGTAGATTATCTCCAATGAATAGCAAGATTCAAATTATTAATTAAAATTTCTTAGTCGGGTTTCTAATGATAACCGGCTATCTAATGGTACGACGACGGTATTATGCGAGTAAAATATGCAAAGGATTCTATGAGACATCTAAAATTATAATAAACATCGTAAGCACGTCGCAGTATTATGACGGACTGGTATGTAGCAAATACGTATATATAACCGCATCAGGAGATAGTTTGTACTAGACTGCAAACAGTTGAGAGGGTAGGACAAGATATCTGATGGACAAAGATAGTACGATTACAATCCCACACTGGCGCATACACCTACACGTACACAGCGCGCAAGGCTAAATGGTATGTAAACTTTGCGTCACTATAGTCCTGCGGCGGGGTTGAAGCCCTCTTTGCTTTCGGCTGCAAACTCAAACTCCATTAAAACATTATGTACGTGTCGATGCTTTTGCGAAATCGTTGAATACATTTGAGTGTAGGCGAACGAGAAGCGGTAGCCGCGGAGAGTCGAATCTTTGAAAAAAATATTTTCATAAATCTATCGTAGACTATTTTAAGTTATATATTTCCAAAACTATGTGATTCGTTAAATTGTGTTTTGAAAATACCACACACATGTTCAAACAGACTATAGACGTTTTTCGATTTTCGAGCGCCATGGTCCAGAAAGAAATTAAACAAAAGAATTAGTGTAGTATACAGTAAAGAAAGAAGCACTTAGGCGCAGCTCTGAAATGCAATATCAACTACGTCACAAGGTCATTTGTCATCGTAAACGTTCCGGGAGTCAATGATCACTTGATGAGCTTCTCGCACACGCTCATCATTTTCAACGAAGATTACATTGTACACGATAGAGAAAAATAAAAAGTACAAAATGCTGTTTTAAATGAACTGCTCCGAAAAACTGATTCGGTCATACGCGTGTTATATTTCAAAAGCCAAAGCGAGAAAAAGAGGGAGCAAAGATAGAAGGAGAAAGCGCGTTCACAATTGATGCCAGCCCACTCCACGATGTCAGACTGACTTCTATTAATCGAAATGCGTCCGGGCAATCGTTCGAACGAAGGCGTGAATACTTTGTCAAAGTTCTGATTAGCTCTATACATGTACTTTTTAAAATTAGTTTCTACCATTTTTAACAATATATTAAATAAAAACATAATTCGATGAATGAAATAATTGACAACAATTGTTTTTCTTTAGATTTATAAACTATCTTTTTTTATCCGATTCATAAATGTTTAAAAAATGTTAATTTATTCAATTATTTATTTATTAGTAGAATACTAATTTAAAAAACGAAATTAATAACAAAAATAACAAATACAGGTAAACTTTACACCAGCGAACCGTAGCTTTCTCGACTACGAAATGATATGTTTACATTTAGATGTATACATACATAGCTCTAAAAAATATCAGCATAAGGAAGCAGTCGTTAGCCACAGATTTCAAAAAAGTCTCTTGTAATATAATACTACCATCTAAATGAAAACATATGTGAGAGATTATCACTTGGCTGTGAAACTGAATGAATTAAAAATTTCGTCAAGTGTAATTATCGAGATATAATAGACAATCACGATTACAACCATAGAATAACCATCGATACATTCAAAGTACAAATTCCACCATTTGTCACTGGCGTATAAACGCGATGACGTAAGTAGAGGAATATAAGGTGGCGCAGACGCCTATACAACAACATTT